AATCCGTCCAAGCAAAGAAATCATCTGTGCGTTTGCCTAAAGGGCCACAAACAAATGGGACGGACAGACGGCCAACTATGCAGCCAACCAACCAGTCAACTAGTCAACGAGCCAGTTCTATGGCTGGCGCACACAACCTATGTATTTACATACATACGTTCTTCGAGGAAAGTGAGATCAAAATGCAGCACTTAACAAAAATAAATTGCAATGTCGCTGTCGCCTCCGCTCTGCCGTTGATGCTGACGCTGACGACGCCAATGCTGCTGCTAGAAGAGCTGCAGTGAGGGCACAGAATCCGCGCACCTCAAACGCCATTACCATCTTTGTTACACAATGAAGAGTTACGGCCGTAGAAGCGACAGCCGCCTGCTGCCACCTTTCCTGGTATTGCAAAAGGATGCTCGTTCTCTGTAACTTGAACTTAAAAGCAAACTTCGCCTATACATACATACATACATATATGTACATACGAGTGTGTACTATGTAAGCAAACGCTCATGCCGACCCTGGGAACCTAGTACTCGTACTATTTGAACAAGTCTTTTGTTAATTCATTTCTTTTTGCATACATTCGCCGAACTGTCTGCTTGCTTGTATGCGTATTGTGAATTTTCCACGACGTCTGCGAGAATTGGCTGTAAACTGCGGTGGGCGCGTGCAAAATAAAAGTACAAGTGAAAAATTTTAAGTAGGTAAGCTGAAAGTGGTCGCCACTGCAGACTCACTAGCCAATAGCACTGATATGACTACGACCACGACCACGACCACGACCACCACCTCCTCCTCCTCCCCCACTATGCGATCTGTCGCGTAAGATCGCGCGCGGCATGACACGATTCATGCGCTTATCTCAGCAGCAAGGCAAAATGCGCGTAGGCAGGCTGACTGGATGGCAGACGAGAGGAGTTGTTTGTTGGCAACATTCATTGGTAACATTGAATCTTTAAATGCATATGCGATGTGTGTGTGTGTGTGTGTGCTGTGAAGCACTGTAGGACATTAAAGGCACCGGCCACCAGCCACCACCAACGCCACCGTCTTGCTGTTTTTTTTTTTTTCTTTTCACACAGTGCAGAGAAAACAACTAAGCGAGCAGCAGCAAGTCATTCAGCCAACTATGAACGATTTAAGGTCTAAGCCTATAACGAAAGACTAGCCTCAATGCGGAGGTGGCGGGTTGCAACAATTTTGTTTAGGACTGCCTGCGTGCATGTGTGTGCGTGAATGTGTTGTGGCACGCTAAGAACGCAAGGCTAAGTTAAATGGCAAATCATTAACATTCGCGCCCATTGCTGGCACAACACTAGGTGGATTATTGCACAATAAGCGACAAGTGAAAAAAAGGCGAGGAGATTTTGTACCACTGGAATCCTAAGTACACGGTTAGAAATTGATTGGTTTAGATATCGAAATCCAAGCTCAAAAATGTATTTAAGCGGTCCAAAGTGTTAGCAAAAATTTAAGAGCGAAGCCTAAAATAAGAACTTCTTGGCGAAAAATCTCCATATTAGATTTGTCTAGGTATTTTCAGGATCCGGTTGGTATAACGCATAATGGCTGAAATAAGCACATATATACTGGAAAAGCTTTAGTATCCTATACTGAAACTCTCCTCTTCATCTAGCTACGTAGATGAATAAATGAGGACTTTACGGCCATAGATATACCGAGTCGATGTGGTCTTCTAGAGGCACCTCTCAACTCACTGCTGGGGCGAGGGAGGATGTTGAACGATCTCTTATTAGCAGCCTTAAACCGGAAGGGAGAGGAGCCGTTCATACCAAAGCTTCAGGGCGGTTTCGGCGCACCTCAGAGTGGCACTCGATTGTTGGGTCCGGTTCCCAGCCAACGATGTCATTGTGTGCACGGACGGGACTTTAATGGAGCTGGAATCTCTTCCGAGACGAAACCTACAAATTTAGATCCCGTTCCCACTTGGTGGCAACAACTGCAGAATGAAAGTCCACGCAGGCCAAGCTCAGCAAACTACAACGACTAGCCCGCGTGAGCATCACTAGCGCAATGAGATCAACACAAACCGCGCGTCTCGAAGTGCTTCTTCCCCTGCATTCTCTACACATTGTAAGAAAGAGCCTCCATTGTTTAGTGCAAGGTTCATATCAGTGGACAGAAAGGAAGATAAGAAACTTATACACCCTGCTACTGTCCAGGTGGACCTGTGCTTTCCGAGATTTGACTTCACACAAAATTTCAAGACATTTTTTCCGCAATACAATCAACTGGTACAACGAACGAACTAAACCAAAGATGGACAGCCATATTTGGTATACTGACGGTTCCGAGACTGACCACGGCATCGTAGCAGGAGTATACGGCAAAAAATCCCAGAAGGCTACTTTTCACCAGCAAGGGGCAATGTAACTCTGTCTTTTAGGCCGATGCGCATGCCATTGAATTACACATGCAAAAGTATAGAACAGGGAGCAACTAATAATCACATATGAACCCCTCACTAGAAACAGATTTCGCTTCCTACGACCAGCGTATCTAGAAGAAAATGACCAAAATGGCATTAACCCATGGAACCTCGCGAGGGCAAGTATAGTCTTGTTACAATATAAGGTTCTTGTTAGCGGTAATTAGGTGACCCTATGCAGTCGGTGTTCCTATACTAAATTATTTTAGTATTCATTCGAGACTCTGAAAACGCATTATAGGTTAGCAGTTTATCATTGAGCAAATACACTTCCTTACGGCAGTTATATTTCTTAAGGATATAGCCCAGATGTCGCTTTGTGCGCGAGAAGCAAATTTTTCGGAGGAAATGTGAGTCAGATTTGTCGCTTAAAAGAAAAAAATCTTCTTTTGAATTCTATTCAAGGTAAGAAATGTCAGCTCTTATTATAAACAAATGTTTTATGATTTGAAAGAGCTGGTTTTAGGGCAGACTTGTGCTAGGTTACTATTTAAGTGAGTTGCTCATTCTCTCATTGCTGCTTTCGCCAAGAAGTATGCTTCACTAGATGCCTATGGTGGTACTTTTGCATTTTTATTCCACCTGGCGGCATTAAAGCGCAATTCACAACCGTAATATGAAATAATTTATTGCAGTCGCAAGTTGCAGATATTTTCGATTGTGCTCTACTGCCTTTTATTGTAACAAATAAAACGATGTTTTTTCTCAGTGTTCTGGTCGTTCATTTCAGGCACACGGCTTTCAGATACGAATAAATAACAGGCGAATAGTTGACTCCTCACGTCGCCACATTCCTTAGCAAATATTTTGAAATGAAGAGCTGCAACATTTAATAAACAGGACGATCGGCGGTATGCAACATACAACAACAAGAAAGCATATGTATGCATAGGAAACACGAATTGTGCGTATAAAAATATGCGTGAACAAACGAGTAGACTCATGCTAGAATGAATGTGCGCACTAAACACGGCGCATGCGCAAAGTGGCTGTAGCAACAACAAAGGCGCTTTAATGAAAGGCTGATAGTCTTTATTAATAATTTGTCTTTGTAATTTCTTATTTTTTTCAATTTTACAGCGAACAAGTATCTACAACAAGCCGTTGGGATGACACACGCGCATTCAGCAATCGCTTGCACGGAAATTACGAGTCCACTAAGAACAGAGAGACCCGCCGACGTCAGTTGTAAAATTTTATTGACCCAAACGCGCTTGAACAACGCTGAACGATTTGCCTACAAAATCTTTACACAGCAGTCTTATTCGTATATAATTGATTGAGATATTTGCAGAAATGAAAAGTAGTTAGCGGTGGAGGCAAAAGCGAAGGCTAGCAGCATGCCATTATGCATAATGACGGCGGCAAGGGGAGCGGATGCTACAGCAACAAGCCGAAACAGCATTAGCATCAGCTGAGGAGGACACAGGCGGCGCGAAGCAACTGGTCACACTGGTCGTAACATGATTTGCAACACAAAATCATTGAAAGACAGCGCCGGAAGATGCTTAGCCGCAGCCAGTTATATGTAGGAAATTGAAGATGTGGCAGCAGCAGGAGCGTATGCGGCAAAGGCGATGATGATGATGATGGTGACGGTGACGTTGACGGAGGGCTAAGTAAGTATTGCCCAACTACTAACTAGCAAATGGGCTGACTGGCTAGTCAACCGCGCTGCTATTTGCTTTTCCCATGTAGCAAAACCTTCACGCAGGCGCAAACAATATTTTCGCAAGCTATGTATGTAGCAGTCAGCAATCGATAGACCAAACAGCCAATCTACAAATATACATACGTACCTAGGAAACAGCCAAGACTGAATGCCACGCATTGGCCAAACGATTGACCGCGAAACAAAGCTGCGTGTGAATTTTTTAGCACTATGTTAAATTTTCAAACGATATTTCCAATAGCTTCTTTGTATTTTAGCATTTTTCTTTTTCGCTAAGAGCCCACACAGTTACAGCATCATCAGCCAAGAATGGCAAGAAAAATGTTGGTGGTGGCGGATGAATGAACGAACGAACGAACGAACGACCGGTCAGACAAACAGCAATCTTCTTTTCTCAAGTTCAATGTGCGCGCATGCGTGCCGCCTTCGTCACACTGTCACGTTTGTGAGTATGGTAGACGTGGCGTATGTAGGTAGACGTTTATTTGCTAGCAGTTATTTACAATTAGGAATGCTCGCAATACTTCAACTGCTCGTGGGATTAGCACTTTTCCGATAGGAGAGCGAAAATATTTGGACAAGCTGATGAAAATATGGCAAGCAAATTCGAAATGTAACAGTTTCAAGTAGTACGAGTACCTGGTACTAATGGCACAAAGTTTGCGGAAGATGAGAGGTGATAATTCCTGGATGCGTGCCTAGCCGAAACAGGAAGTCGCGCTACATAGTTACATGCCAAGCCAACGAAATATTTTTTCTGTTGTTTGTGTAGGGCTGCAGAGATTTTTTTTTTTCTTTTGAATCACTAACGTTTCGTACATAATTAAATTACTTAGTAAAATATTTATTCATTAGTATGGAAATATTTACGCTTCAGTGGGTACTCACAATTAAATCGCCTTTGTATATGCTGTTGTCTGTGTAGAATACCAACAATTCGGCAGATAACGCCCGACAGCTGGGCTCTCGCAATTTCGAGGCTAATAGCAGACAGGCCGCTGCCAATATTTGCAGATGTGTTTTTGTTACAGATTTTGTGGATAGAAAACGATCCATGTAGTTGAGCGCCAATAGTACGACCTCCTCTTGGCATTTCTCTTCGGCACAAACCTGGAAGTGAAAATATGAAAAAATGATTAGCTTGCGATCGATTAGTAAAAAAATAAGAACAAAAAGTATTTATAAATAACTCTTCCCCAGCAAAGTACATATGTAGTTCTCGAATCGAAAATTAGGTTAGAGAACTGTGTTATAATTCGATTAGAGAATGATTAGAAAAACACTAGACACTTTGCTGAGACTGATCTCAAATCAGGAGAGTAAAAACCGCAATCTCCTTTTTAGCATAGAGCTTCTAACACCAAAAATACTTAAATGATTGGATGAATGATATTAGCCTGAAAATATGCAAAAGGAAGACGCTCGACCCCCTAAATACTTTCTCAGACTGTTATTTTATCATAACTTGAAGCATGCGACTGTTGCAATGAGATTCCAGAAACCATCAAGCTAAAAATAGCTAAATGAATAGCAGGGTGAGTTTAAAATTATGAAAAAATTTTATAAAACCATGGTTGGCCCAATTTCAAATTTTAAGTTGATCAACTGAGGCTTTTAATTTTTCATACTTTTAGGCACGTGACTGCTGCAGTTGAAATCCAGGAATCGCAGGCATCGCCTAAGGGTATGCAATGGCTACCTTATTGAATCTCTCAGCTTTCCTGTTGCACATTGCTAGGCACACCCGTTATGAATTTACAGATGTTTAGCGCGCGCGGGTTTTAGCGTAGAGGGGTCTAGAATGGTAAAATTCTCCAAATGAAAACCTGTGATGCTTAAAAATATGCAATATGAAGCAACAAGCGATACAATTAAAAATCAACCAATTCTGGTAGAACGAAAAATAAGAAGTTTAATGTTTAATACTTTTAGGTGCCCTTTACTTTAAATTAAAAGGCTCGAGTTACTTACGGGGACCAGCAAGGACTCATCCTTATTGGATTTGGCATCATTTACAATTGGTTTAAATGATCGAAGATGCGATTACACTGAGACTCTTTCGGATGCGATGTCTCATCTCTTACTACGGACTTCATGTGTGATTATCGAAGCACCTGTAGGACTTACAGTAGTAGGTCAATGCGCAGTGGCACGCTTCATTCATACCCTCCTTTCATTCGCGCCTTGTGGCTCTCTTTGGGCAAAGTTTGAAGAAATTTTTGGAAAACTATATTCGTTAATGACGGACAAATCGGCTTCGACAGCAGATACATTATTTCGATACTTAACCGCCAAAACGAGGTAACCGACATTTTGTTTGCGAAATTTTATTTTTGATGCAGAAATACTTCTTCAACATAGAACATAGAACTTATTGAAGGGTTCAACTTTGACTGGACTGAGACTGAAAGTGTCAAAACCCGAGATTTGTTCACTTCCCGAAAGGCACCACTATTTTTAAGTTACTCTTATCCACAATACCGTGAGCGAAAGAGAAATTCAAACGTAGTTACGTACCACCCTAAAAACACTCCGAAGAGGGTCACAATTTACAGACCACTCTTGCCACCTTGTAGATAGATTTTTGTAAAAATAAGTGCCAACTTATGCATTTCTAATGGGAAATTCCTGCCCATCGCACGTTTCGAAAACCTTTGACCGTCTACCACTGCTAACGCTAACCGCATAAATCAATTTTCCGCTTCCTAATCCGAAAAAAGAAAACTATTGGCAAATCAATTTCCGGCTTGACGCATCGAATAGCAACAAAATCGTAGTAACAAATTGCATAAAAGCTAGCATAGTAGGCAAATCAAAGTACATACATAGCTCCAAGAATTGCGCTATTTCCGAATTCCAAACAAAGTAGACACGATGACGCGATTTACACTTGCACAGCGCCAGCAGCAGCGCCTCGATGGGCCCAAGACTACTCGCCGAATGACGTTTACCAGCTATCAAGACATTCTTGTACGTATGTACAACAATAGAAGAAAAACTATTACAAAATACATACACAACAATTAGAAGCACACACGCATACTTAACTTAAGCCTAACAATCGACAATACTTTTACATTCTTACTAATGAGCGTCTTAAGTCGACTTGGGGAATCAGTCATGTCTGAAAAATAAATTATAAATACATAAATAAATATAGGCACTTTTTTCTTTATGTATGTATGTATGTATGTGCATACGAGCACATATCTCGATGCATAACTACTTACTTACTGCCAATGGATACTTACTCACTCACTAAGCTTGGCGTCATTAATGCAATGCCAGCCAACCCAATTTGCCAAACGACTTAGTAACGCGGTCGTTTCCGACTCGTTCTGGTGAACTATACAAATCCAATTTTAAATTGTGAGCAATATTTAAAAAAAAAGTCAGCAAGCATTCGTAAAAATTTTAAACTTTTCAATCTGAATGAAAATAAAAAATACCCACCAAACAATTTGTGTTGCCGGCAATAAGAAAACGTGTCGCCCTCGGAAACAAATTTATTGCCGGTAATATTGCCATCGAATCGATTTCCTATTACCGGTCGCTCTAAAACGTCCGCCGAAGGCAACTCGCCTGGGCGAGTCGTTTTCTTATTACCTGAATGAGTCCTTTTCTTATCGCTTCAGACGCTATTTGGAATAATTTTATTCTTTTTAATACTTAATTTATTTTTTTGTATACCAAATAGCAACTTACACTAGGAATTAATTCATTTTCTCGCTGTGAGGCTTCCTATTTTTTTCAATCTTGTCCTTGGGCATAATTTAGATGCTTTTGGCCAATACCAATGACGCCATATTCATAAGTTTCGGAATTTTTGAGAACTTATTTATTCAAAATTGACATGAACGAAGTGATGTTGCCGATTTGTCAGCACAGCAATAAATCGGTGAGTCGCCAATTTGTTGCCATTGACGATTGTTGCCTATTTCTCATGTTTTGCATGGTGGATATAAACCACTTTTATAGCTGATTAAATTTTAGTGTAATAGTAAAAATTTTGTATGGAAAAAATTAATAATCATTTGAACTCATTTCGATTTCACCCAAACGACTTAACCAAACCGACATCGTAACGACTTCGATTCGATGAGAAAAATCGAAGTCGGAACGACATTGCGTTGTGTATGGAAAAAACGACTTCGCTTCGACGTCGTTTCGAGTTCATCCAAACGACGTCGATTCGAACTCGTCTTCACTCTGTGGCAAATTGGGAATGCAATGGAAAATGCAAGTGTATACGAAAGCAAGCAAGCAAAAGCACCTTGGGCACACACGCGCACACGCTCACACACACAAAGGGGGTGGGAAGATGAGGTGAAGAATTGAAGTGTTGCTTGCGGGTGTTTATGCTGTTTAGTTCTTACTTATTATTATTATTTCTTTTTGTTATTGTAATATTGTTCTTGCTGTTTTGTTGTTGTTGTTGTTCCCCAATCAACAACAAAAATGCCCAGGTTGCTTGCTCGTTTTTCACAATGTTGCAAGTACATTGCAGTGGAGCATGCAATCAGTTATGTATCTCATAATTAGTTTTACGCTTCAGTTTTACTTTCTTACATTCTCATGGTTGGGTGTAATTGTTGCTGTTATTGTTGTATTTATTTTTTTGTTAAGATAATAGTCACTTTTTTTGTTTTGTATTTTACTATTGTACGTAAATAGTTGTGGGTTAAATAGCGTCGATTACTTTATTTAGGTAAGTAAGAATGTAAGATAAGTGAAGTGATTTTGAGGTGTGCAACGGCTGAGAAATAGGGTAAATTACGATGCGGTTCCATAGAAGCAGTCAGCAGAAGAATTGGCTGTGAAGATTGTGGTGGGCCTAATAGAACTGGACGGAATAAGAAGGGCTATTGTTCACTTTAGTAAAATTGTTAAACCCTATTTGGTACACTTTGGCATAATACCTCCTGCCAGCCAGGAAACAGTGGGTGGTAGAGTATTTCATAATTTAGATACTGTTATAGTGTAGCTATTCAGTATGCTAAATCCAGTCATCGATGCAGAGCGCCAGAAGGTGGAAATTTTCTGCCTTTTCAGGAAGGAAAAGCTGGTCTAGCAACTTTGAAGACTTACAAATAAAGAGACGAGAAAAGAAATAAAAAAAAGCTAAGAAATCGTTGGTAGGCGTGTCGCCAATACTTGACGATTCGACGATGTATCTAGTAGATGAAATGTATTAAGCTAAATTTTCGTAAAACCCAGAAATTTTAGGCGTCTCATCACGCTCAAGACAAAGATGGCATTATTTCAGTGGGGATGTACCCATCTTGTTTATGTTACAACAAAACGATTGCATCAGATTTTCAAGTTTTGTGGAAAAAATTTATAATTCGCATCAAAATTTCGTTCGCCAGAAGAGCTGCAAGACAGATCCGATAAGAAAAGAAGAACCCGCTAACAAGAAATTGGCAGACATTTTCCTAAAACCAAGAACTTTAAATTGAAAATTTTCTAAAATTTTATAGAATCTCCAGGACAACTTGACAAAGGTTAAAAGAAAACTGTCGATAGAAGAACCCACTAGTCCGAGAAGCCACCTAATCGTTGAGAATGGAAATAACGTCGTAATCTCTAGCCGCAGTTCCGAATTAAAACGATTACTAAATATGCAACTAGGAAACTTGTTTCAAAATTGACTTCTCACACCCTTGGAAGATATTATTTTATATGGCGAAAACCACAAGACTAGCGAATTTTGAAAGGGTCGATGGTCGGTAGTTTAGCATCCACCATCTTGCCAGAAATATTGAGGGCTTCTTAGACTGATTAAGTGGCAATCCATTCTGAGAGGATTTTTGAACGAGCACTGCCCTATAAGAACCCACGCGATAAAACGATGAGGTGGTATTATCTCGGTTTACCAAGAGCAATAATGTAGTTTTTTGTATTGGCATTGTTGTCATTCGGCTCAGTGAGTTATAATTGGTGTTTTAAGCGACCATCCTTTCACTAGGCTTAGGATCGCGGTGCCTATTTTTAAATGATCGTGAGCAACTCTCTGGCGCCCGACAATTTTCTATCTAACGCAATGATTGTAACCTGGCTTCTTCTTTTATTCTCGCTATAACCAGCTAAGATATTTTGGCTATTTTGGT